TTTGTTTCGGCCGTCACATGTTCGTACTTGCACTGATCGCCGTTTCTACACCAGCCATTTTTGGCATAGAAACGGCAAACTTCACCAGACTTCTCTGGTAAAGCTGTCTTCTCTTCAACTTGAGATTTTGCGGATTCGTCAGCAAGTTGAGCTCGAACATGTTGGTGAATACACTGATCCTTATGGCAAAGCAAACATGCCAGCAATGCTATTTACATAATTCCCAAACACTCCATGTATGGCATATGTACATACATTGTCAACCACTCCAATGTATATGCCAAATGGCGTTAGTTTGTCCAACATCTATGACGTCTGACTCGATGAACTCCAAGAACGAACTGCTCGCTAACTTCTGATGTTCATTTCTATTTAAGATGGCCTACTATGGAAAGATTTGCATCTCCACCTCAAGAACAAACATACACCCCCTAGCGCCCCCTAGGTGGAAGTGGATGGCACCACCTTGTTGGTATCTGGAATATGGTCATCCTTGCGGGGCCTGGCCGCCATCCCCCATGTTGCGCAGGGATTGTGAGCAACATCAAAGGAGTCGTTGGAGTCGTTGACGTTCCAACCCCCTTATAGGACACGGTACCATCAACCCGTGATCAACTCGGCATCCTGTTTCCATCCGTTCGGATCGGAACACCCCACCGTCGACCTGCGCACAAGCATTGCCCGAGGGATCCAGTTGTACCTTCTCAGAAGGTACTTAGACCCTCCTGGTACCTATACACATAGTGTCTCCAATCACCTTCCGAGAAGGCACTGGATCCCTAGGCATAATAGGGGCAAAGCTTTGCCAAGATGAAAGCAAAGCTTCGCCATGCTTGCACCAACCGGCCTTCTGAAAGAAGCGGCACACCTCTCTGCCGCCCGCGCTCTCTGACGGGGTTTCGGGGCCCAGCATATGCACCTCAGCCAATGTCCAAGAGAAGCGACCCTTGTTGGACCGCACTGAGGTCCTTCGTTCATTGAACCTCTGGTGTACGGGAGACCAGACCTCGGTCCTGATCCACTGGCGACGTGGGAAGAGAATTCTTCAACCGAAGAATTAGGCTACTAGTAACAAGTGCCTTACTACTAGGAGCAAGAAGCTAGTAGTAACAAGTGCATCGCTAGTAGTAACAAGTGCCTAAGGCTACCACGGGAGTCAAGGACTGTATAATAATGATTGAGTGTCTCCCATTCCCTGTAACGGATGATGGTTGGGTTCCATGCCTTTCCCCAAACTGCTAGAGGTCATGGGACACAGAGGACAGGAAAAGTATAGTCTTTGGACTTCTAGGGGCTACTGTACTTATTGGGCCCATTAGATCTGAGTTGTTGTGTCTGATCGCAAAATCTACGTATCTTCTGATTCGTCCAGGCCGCATGCTTGCAGGCCTCTCCATATTTGCACCAGCCTGACTTCCTTAGCTCGCTGCGTTGACTTCAGCTCGCTGCGCAGCTCGCTGGTTGGAACTCGCAGGTTGGAACTCCAAAAATGGCCTGATACTGCATAGTACATGCTTGATGCCAAATCCTGGAGACATTGTATTCAGGATTCTAGGGTGGGTGTTGCTCTTATTTGTTCGCCCACCAACAGCTCCACAGCCACAGCGGCTGCACCCCCAGACAGAGTCCGAACAAAGAAGAACATGTGCTTTCCGGCTTTCCCGGTTGGATACATTTGTTTAATGAACCAATGCAGCTTTCTGAAATTCTGGACCAAAGATACTCCTTGATTGTCCTATGGGTCTGTGGATGTTCATTCTGTAAACACACAGGATTTATGATATGTGTGTAAAGGATAGTGTCACTATAAAATGTTTTGGTTTAGAGATCCATCGTTTTTTGTAATAAGATGCCAATACATTACACAGTGGACATGTTCAGATTTGGAAGAAAAAGGCCTGCTTACACAAAATGCATAGTACAGCATCACTTAAACAAAGTTGAAAGACACCATCTCCAACCACTAGTTTATACAAAATGCCTTGCGCAGCATTCAATTAATGATTTTCCTGGGCATACAGCCCTTATACAGAATGCCTTCCCTGACATCACATTGGATTTTTGACCACACCCAATCTCTGAAACCCTCTGATATATACAACATGTGGAGCCAACCTTCACATTAACCTCAACTTGTAGATTTGCAAAAATCCCAAACTGCTGGCTTATGATATGCACGTTGGAGCGAGCGTTTTGTAAGCGCAAAGGATCCTCATTTCATAAACCATCAGTCAACGGGTATGACCAAAGTGTTTCTATGTGTTTCTAAAGTCTTGGGACTGAGGTTGGTACCTGTTTATAAAACATCCTTACGTGATTCATAATCAAATCCTGTCATTGACCCAGACTAAGGTTTTCGATGCGGAAAACGCGTTGGATCCGTTTCCTTACCTCACATCGGAACCGATCATCTGGTTTTCGAAGGAAGCGTCGGATCACTGGAAGGAATCTTTCTCACTCTTGGGATCCTTTTATGGATCAACAAATACTGCGAACCACGGGAAGGAAGAGGATCTTGTCCAGTTCTTGTGTGCTAATCAGTCATTGAGTCATGCCAGGTGTAACTTCCATTAAGGGAATAAACCTGCAGAGTTTCTGCAACATATTCGTCATTTAAAGGTTTTTTTTGGGGATTTGATACAAACAAAAGTGCCAATCTATTCTCGTGTCTGTGGCATGCTCTCTCCCACCCACGTCCACGTCCACGTGAGTATCTGCTCCTCTCACCGTCCACGTCCGCTCCACGTCTCACGACCGACCGAAGGCGACCGCTGACCGCGAACTCCGGGACCACGGGAACTCCAATGAACCTTTACATTGCACTGACAGCTTCCACGCGAAGAACCATAAGGAATATAAAAGAAACAACTACCTTGACGCTCAAGGACCTGCAAGTGGAAAGAAACATCAATTTATAGAATCCTGAGTCTAAGAGTCTAACCTATCAGTAACATCATGAGTTATATAACATACTTTTCTGAAATTCTGGACCAAGGGTAACCTTTGGTTTCCCGACAAACAAATTGCTCTTTATGAAGTCCTGTGCGTACTTGATTAAAACAAGTTGTAGTATTTAGTGTGGCTAAGCCACCCCATTATATTATGGATTACCGGACGGGTATAAACAACAAAACCTCTGCAAGAGCCCACGATCTCCAGTGAAACACGGCCAGTCCAACCAAAGCCGGCTAGTCCTTCCTGGGATCTTCTGGACATTAGAACTGATGATTCTGCGAAGTCATTTGGAACCCAGTGATGATGTGAGATCGTCTGGGATTGCCAAGTGATTGGTCAGTCAAATGGCCCAAATCCAGTTGGGTTCGGCACCTTGGGTTCGCACCCCACCTGCACGTCTTAACCATATGGGACACTCCAAAACCTCGGACGCCGAACACCTCGGTGCACCGTATCAAACCGTTCAGCCGAACGATGGATCTGATCGCGACGAAGGCGGCCGAAGCAAGAAGTTGTTGTTGTTGTTGTTGTTCCGCATCATGTATGAAAACATATTTGGACAATACATGACAACACGAGTACCACTATGTCTTAAATGTCTCAAATGTCACTGCACTTGACACCCCCTCAATACAAAAACAGCAAACCATGTCAGGCCAAGTACCGGTGGTTGAACTGGCGAATTTGGATTGGTTTGGATGGGCAGCCAAAGGACTTGTAAGCAAGACATGATCCACCTGCTTTACTTCAACTCCAAACATGTGTCTGTAGGATAGCACACTTTGGTCTTCAAGCACCGGTGAAGTCGCCAACCGCCCTGACCCTGAACTGGGACAAAGGCTCACCCGAGTCTCCCAGTGCCTCTTCCGCCAAGTCTCGCGAAGAACTGGCAAACCTCTGCCCCCGGTCCCTCAGCTTCGGGCGCGGCGTAGGGCTCCGACTTCTTCTGCGGGAGCTTCTTCTTGGGTGCCGGCCCATAGGTCATCGACCCCGAGGAACTCTCCGCAATCACGCGCCGGCCACACGTGGTACTTGGGCCGAAGCAAACGTGAAGCACACGCAAAGAATAGGAAGACCTGGCCATCAGCCTAAGCACTCCATCGGAGTATTTACGCTGACCCCAGGTCTGGCCCACCCCCCTGCCCGTTTCATCCCTGTGGCTTGTTGTAACTCAACCACTTCACCCACCCTGGCGCTAGGTTCACCACATGAAAGTCAAAGATCGATCCTCCAAAATGGTAGATCAGCATGTAGGTATCGTTAAACTATATTAATTATATATGTATATATGCTTGATCTATTGGTTAATCACGTTCTATTGCCAACCTTCAATCATCCTTTACAGAATGCAGGCATTCCTGTAGTGGGACCAGTGTACGGCGTGTATGGCTTGACTTTAACACGATTGAGAACCCACCAAGGGCTGAAAAGCAATGGCGATGGACCTACTGTTACTAGCGATGGCCTCCAACCAAATAGCGATGGCCTCCAACCTAATAGCGATGGCCTCCAACCTAAGAACAATGGCCTCCAACCTAATTAATAGCAATGGCCTCAAACCTAATTAATAGCAATGGCATCAAACCTGTATTTCCTCATAGGCACACCCTGGGGGTCCTGGGCCTGGGCCGGGCCTGGTATTGAATGGAAGTCGAGGCTGGTATTTGCAAGTCTTCCACTTGGCATTCCACTACAGTGATCATCAGGCGCCATGCGTGTATTGCTTGGTGGTCGTTTGTACTCAGCCCCTTGAAGAAGAACATCTGGGGCTGTCCAAAATTGTTTATACAATAATACATGCCCGTAAATATTCTGACAACTATAGCCATAGAGTCTGCTGAACATTCTGCGCTCAATTCATCCCACGCAAACCGCACCCTGCCCTCCCCCCCCAAAAAAAAGAAACTGCCTCGGTCGGTTCCACAACCCGAGAACCGCTTCGTTGCTACATGGCTGCGGTGGCCGCGTGAAACCATTCCATTGGTGGCCAAAACCGTGAGTCGCATGGGATCTTTCCACCTGACAAAAGCCCAACAAAATCATGGTTCTCTCCTCTTTCCAACGGTTCAAACATGGCTAACAAGCCTTCGACCCCTTCGACCCCTTCGACCATCCAGGTCTCCAGAAGTTCGGGTCGCGAAGCAACACGACTTCCTTCGAGCTCTGAGTCACCAAGGAGTGGATGGGGAACCCGACTTCCAAGTTCAGGTGCCACAAACCAACGGTGGCCTCTAACCTAATAGCGATGGTCCCTTCAATATATACCGTTTCCTCTGCTCTGAGAGCTCAACAAATCCCTCCTCCCACATCCTTTGGGGCCGGATCTTTTGTACAGTCCGGCCGCGCCACTTTTTTGGGCGCGCTTCCCGTGGTCTGACCTCAGGAAAACCGCAGATCGCGGACCGCGGACCGGTTGCCAAGAAAACTGTTCCAAGCTCTGTGACATGACCTGTGTGGGTACTGGTGTGGGTTGTTTGGACTTTCTTGACCCAAAGGCACATGCGACCTCTGCGCAGAATGGCTCAGAGAGAACTAGAATGGCCAACATCAAACGTCTGCAGCTCTGTGGTTCTTCTTGAGTCTTGGGGTTTGAAGGGATTCCCAGCGACTTGGGTGAAAGCTTCCTCTCATTCTGCTGTTCCGAAGTGCGGTATATCTTCACTCCAGGAGTTTCGGGGTGTCTAGGGTGCCTAGTTCAACCAGGGGGTACCCACATCCACTCAAAGGACCTGGGACTCAAATTCAATCATTCCTTTGGAACTACCTGGAGTCTCAGAAAGTACCTGAACTCAACGGTCATGTCCCATTTCTAGGCTACGAACGGTCCATCAGTCCAGGGATAAGCGGTATAAAATGCCTTGTCCTTCAGTCACGGGATTTCTTCTTTTTCATCCGCTTCCCGCAAGACATAGGTCACAAAGCGCGGCTGTTGCTGCAGTAAGACGTCCAAGCGTTGCGCAGTCTTTCTGATTGTCTGCCTCAAACGCCCCAAGGCCATCTCACTAAGGAGGGTCTCCTTGGTCAATGACAACTCCAAGAGCTCTTCTAAAGCTGTCAAGTGTGCCTGAGTCTTGACAGCCCAAGAATGTGAAGGCAATCCTACACAGTTCGGCAAGCAGCGGCCTTCCAGTTCTGCCAGGCCACGGCGCAGCGTCTGCACATGCTGGATCAAAGGTTTCAGGTCCTGCTCTGCTGGCTCTGCTTCCCCGAAATTTGCCGGTGTGGAACGATGGAGAATCAGCTGAGCTTCTCTTTCATCGTTCATCTGTCGGTATAAGACTTCTGCTTGCTGTAACATCAAGGTGACTTGGCTTTGCCAACTCTCTCGCTCCAGGGCAGCTGCCTCCATTTCGCTCTCAATGCGCTGCAGATCTGGATCGCGGGATCGGGCAGGCAGTTCAGACATCACGGGAGCTTGACTATCTTTCATGCATTCTTGCATCGCGACATGGCATAGCAAGTGTCACGTTGTGATGCACGCAATTCAATGAGTCGTGCTCAAGCTTTAGTGCAACAAAAGTCACTTGTAGGCCAAACTAGGCCAAGCAAAATCTATTTCTTTCTGAGCACTTTTCAAAAACACAAAAAGTTCTGCAAACGGTATAGCAAAACATATAGCAAAACATACAGCAAAGGTAAGAACAGGATGTGTTAGAAACCGCTGCGAGACATGGACGACGCTGCGCTCGCGCCTGGATAACCACAAACGGAACAGCTGCGGTCCAAGGACGCCCGGTGCTTTGCGAACGGCGAACGCTGCGCCCCGCACAACCAGACACGTGGTGCCCCCAAGAACGCTACTAGGGGCCGTACTACTAGGAGCAAGGACGCTACTAGGGGCTCCTGGCATCGCTGCTAGTAACAAGAAGCTACTAGGGGCTCCTGGCCCTCCTAGTAGCTGTAGATGAAATACAACGCACTCATTTGACTTGCTGCGGTGGCAGAACCCCCTATCAAAAACCCATAGTTTCAAAAACACTAGAAACCCGTATTTCCGGTCATTCTTGCAGGAGGCTATCCATCAATGCGCTGCGTAACCCAAGTAGGGTTGCTGGGTTGCTTTCCATGAGCCTCGTTGCCTGCTGGACATTCCCCCCCCGCTCCACCCAGCTTGACCGCACGGTCAGTGAGACGCCGCTTCATCGACGAAATCACCCAAGAATGATTGGCATTTCCAGCGTTATTTTTCTCTTGCAATTTCTAGAGAAATGGCCTCCAACCTAATAGCGATGGCCTCTAAACTAATAGCGATGGCCTCCAACCAACCTACTTGCGATGGCCTCCAATCTAAAAGCGATGGCCTCCAACC